AGTTTAGCAAAGAAACATAACATTTAAATGCTTTGACAGTTAAAGAAGACATACAGGATTATGCTCACTTTTCATATTTGTATTTTGTGTCTCTACTTTAACATGTTCTCTTTCCTGTAGTGTGTTATATAGGTTTGTGTGGCTGTATAAATGGTCTGCAAAGGCTACAATCCCAGTGTTCCCTCCAGAGGGAGTTTCTCTCCTCCACACTTCCCCCTCCTAACTGAAATGCCTCCATTGGACTCCTTTGTATACCTTCTGTAACATAATGACATCACTATGTAACACTTGTGCTTCTATTGGCTAGCGCTCCATAACATTGTACGTCATAGGCTAAGGGACGGGACATTTCTAAGCGGTTGACCAATCACAACAGAGCCGGCCAGCTAACCAATCAGAGCAGACTGGGCTCTGGTTTCAGACAGAGGGTGAAAAGAGGTGCTGCAGCACAGGCAGTATGAGAAAAATAAAGATCTTTTTGAACATTAAAGCATGTAAACATGTCACAGTAGAGACATGAAATACTATAAATATGAACCTGACAATTAGCATAATAGGGCTCCTTTAAAAATGTACTAATCGACTTAATTAATCTAAGTTAACTGAGACCAAAACAGCCAATTAATCTACTATTAGACAAATAGGGGTCAGCTCTATGATAAGATGTAACACACACACACACACACACACACACACACACACACACACACACACACACACACACACACACACACACACACACACACACACACACACACACACACACACACACACACACACACACACACACACACACAATGTTAAATGTAAGTCTCACAGATCAGAATTACAGAAAAGGTAAACACTTTTTTTTATTTGATGCATTTCTAGAAACGCTGATGATAAAAAAAGTAGTATAACCCCGTATCTGAGTTTGTGACTCTGTGTGAATGTGTTTTGCCCCCAAAAAACTTTCCAAAGCTGTGAAACTTTGCCATTTATCCGGGGTTATTTCCATTCTGCCGTCTGGGTGCATCCATATGCAAATAGAGCTGACGGAGATGATGTATCTGGCCATGCTTACAGCTCACCCACACAATTTATATGTCTGCAGACACATGCAGCTGCATGCTCCCATACACACACATACCGCTTATGTACACACACATACTCACACAAACACCCAGATTAATACACAAGCGCGAGCAGAGGCAGCTATGAATGAATTATTGGGTGGGAGTTTGCTTTGGTTATGACCTGCAGCTACATATGGCCCAGTCATTCTAGTGTGTGTGTGTGTGTGTGTGTGTGTGTGTGTGTGTGTGTGTGTGTGTGTGTGTGTGTGTGTGTGTGTGTGTGTGTGTGTGTGTGTGTGTGTGTGTGTGTGTGTGTGTGTGTGTGTGTGAGAAACAAAAGGCATTAGTCCAGTAGACCAAACTAATGTGATTTTCCATTAATGTGATGCCCTGGGTGGCTCTGTTTGTTTGTGTGTTTGTGTTTTATCCTCTGTGTGAGGTGTTGAATGGACTCCACTCACACCTTCAATTTGTCAGCTCATTAATTTAAAAAGTCAGGCTGGTCGCTGGTGTATTCATTACCTATTTTTCAAAACACACACTCACACACATTCCCACGCATGCAGTGGGTTTTTATTGCTGTAATCTTCTGAATATCTGGCAACCTTGTCAATGATTAAATGACTGCTGTTAAGTATGTGTGTGTGTGTGTGTGTGTATATGTGTTTGAGAGAGAGCAATGGAGGGAGAGATGTGGATGAGTACTAAATATTTTTACAGTGAAAGCGAGAGTGCAATAAATGTAAGGTGTGCGTGTGCGTGTGTGTGTGTGTGTTTGTGTGTGTATTGATACCACAGTAAATCTCTCCTGCCTCTGTATGACTTAATGCATATTGCTAAATCTATAAATGTAACCAATTAAGTGCGTGGTCGTAAGTCAGCACCACAGACTCATGCAAATGAAGTCTTTAAATCTGGATATGTGACTTAACTTTACACAAATTACACTTGACACATTTTACTGGGTGCTAAAAGACGTGTACATTGACTTACTGTGGTAGCCACGGTAACAATCCACATCCAACATCGGACGCCTTGACTAATTGCACACTTTGGCAAAGGCGCCTACTCTTCATAAGGTTGTATACATTAATATTGAAATAAAAAACAACCATATACTGTATAACGTATGCATATGTATGCAGGAAGTGGGTGGGGCACTTTTTGGATGGTGAAATCTAGACTGCTTAAATTGGTAAATTGGTCTCTAATGACATTTAAAGTAAAAGATGAATTGATTTTGAAAGCCTTTTTCTTGTCCAATGCGATTATTCAAAGGAAGTGAAGAAAGTTTTGGATGGGTCAGAGACGCTTGTTAATTTCCCTTCCTTGCATGCATGATGTCTTTTCAAAATAAAGTTCCGTAAATAAAAGGAAAATTATGGTTTCGTCTTGTAGCATGCATCAAGTCAACCCTCGTCTTACTTAGTTTTTAGGGCAACAAGATTACATGGTATCAAATTTGTCAAATAAGTAATGTTGGCACTTAACTGGCGTCAGTGAGGTATTCTAAGATGCAAAATGAAGGTAAAATAAGTTAGAGTTTTCTAGTTTCCTAAAGGACAAACGCTGTGCATCCTGGGAAAAACGTATGTGTTTGTCCGACCCATCTATCCACTCTTGCCTCCTCACCTAATCGGACTTAATGCTGAAGTTACGGCAGTTGCTTTGATGTCTGACAGACATTGCGGTTATTGAAAGCCTGGAGCCTCTCATACAGGTGTCTCTGACCAAGTGTCTATGTTGTAAAAGTTAGGATTGTGACGGGGTTGGCAATATCTGTGTCTTTTGGTTTCACTGAGTTGAGTCAGGTTGTCTTAATAGGTTAATAATTCAATAATTTTGATGATGTATGATTCCGTCACGCCAATCACTATTCATTTTCCAGAAAAAACTTGATTGTATTTGCACCCTTAACTTATAGGCTGCTTATTGCCAGTATTGCATAATAAACAACCAAGAGGAACACAATAAGGATGTGAGGTCGAGGCCATATTCGTTGGCCCATGACGGATCCAGAAGCTTTATTGCTCCTGGGTAGAGGCTATAATTCAGAGGGAAGGCCTTGTGGCAAGTGCCCGAAGGCTTCCACAGAACACAGCACATCTATCTGAGCCTCAGACCATGAGTGAGGAAAAAAGAAATCAGAGGTCCAAAGGACTCAGAAAGAAATGAAAAAGAAAACAGGAACAGAAAGGGAGAGGGTGGTCAGGGGGAGGAGGGAAGTCCATTTGGGAAAGCTCCTTGTCATATTTCATCCTGACCTCTACGTCTCACGAGCTCCTGCTTGTCTTCCGTCTACAACTGGTTTTCTGTCCGTTCCACTTGGCTGGGTCTCACCCCGACATCACAGCACTTCCTCTCTGCTTCTTCTTCTGTCTCTCTTCATTTGGTCTCGACATCCTCCTCTTTTTTTATTCCTCTGAATCTCTGCTGTCACGCTTTTTTCCCCCACTCTTTATTTTAGTGCAATGCAATATATCGGGGAAAGAATACAAAAACGGGAGAACACATTACATTTGGTTGTAAAATGAAATGAATACAAAGGAAAGTCATTATTTCATTTTTTCTCCCTTTAGATTATTTACAACTTGCCTTTTTATTATTGTCCATCTATGGTGGGCGAGAGGGCAAACACGCGACAGCCGCCCAACACTTTCAAAACGAGAAAGGCACTGCACTTGCAAGATGCAAATATAAAAACATAAATGTGCCAGAACACATGCAAATTAGGAAACATGTTCACCAACGTCATGAACCATGCACAGCGTTTACTGAAAGAGCTGCAAATACTAAATGGCGCATATACAAAACGCTGCAAAAAAAGAAACGCTGCAGGAAGCTCCAAAAACAACAGAAACCAGGGGACACTAAAAAGTGATGCACACAGCTGGGAACGGAGTACTTCTTGACATTTCGGAGATTATAGAGTTGGCTAACTGTCACAGTTGGCAGAGTTAGTCTGTTTCATAATAAGCTAGTTAGTTAGCTAGCTACCTTACAGCAGATCTGCAGCAATGTCTAAAAGATTATGGAATCACATTGTTCAAATAAACCAATAAAACATGTATTTTAGGTTACTTTCTAGTGACAGTGATTGTTGGCCAACTTCATAATTCCCAAACGTCAACAAGCTCTCCGGTCCCAGCTGTGTGCATCCCTTTATCTCTCTAGGTCCTCCTCAGACGAGCCCTCCATCGTTGCTTCCAGTCATCCCGGTTCTCCGTATAGGATTTTTGGGATGACTTTGTTCTTCATGGTTGGCTTTACGATGCTGATTAAGGACTGGGGGGCGCAACTCCTCTCAGTGTTTGCACCTGTTGACTCAATTTGTTGGTGAAAATGTGTGTAATAGTGAGGGTCTACTTAATACACAGGTGTAGAATCCATTGTCTTCCATATCAGCAGATCTGAGTGTTTTGGGGCGTTGTAGCGCGATTGACCCGTTGGCCACCGTAACAATCCACCCCTTTACAACATATATATAAAATATAACATTTTCTCTACGCTTTTCTTTTAATCTCTTTCGCTGTAGCCCCCTTCAACACACACATGCACTTTTTCAAATGTATATTAAATGTTTTTATTGCTTTGAAGGTAAAATCAATAGTGCCAAAGAAACAAGATGAAATAATCTTCCTGTCACTCAAAGTCTTTCTCCCATGTTTTTCATTCTCTCTTTATCACCCTTTCTCTCACAAAGCATGTTTTCTATATTAGGTTTCATTTCTTTAGTCCTATAGAACTGTTTTTAATGATGGTTTATGTGTTGCCTTCTAACCTTTAGAAGTCTCTAACCCAGTTCTGTGTTTCCACGATGTTTCTCCCTCTGAGGTTTAAAGTGGAGTTGTACTCGGAGTCATCTCACTCAATGATGGAATATATACGGTATATTCATCCCCACATTCTTAATATTTCTTTGTCTGTTCTTTTCTCTCCTCACAGTGGATGGATGCATAGACTGGTCGGTGGATCTGAAGCAGTACCATGTTCTGGCCGGGGAACCTCTTCGGTTGAAATGTGCCTTGTTCTACAGCTACATCCGAACCAACTACACCATGGCCACCAACGCCAAACTGCGCCTCATCTGGTACAAGAACAAAGGAGATGCAGAGGTAAGAGCATGTGGAACTAGAAGGGCATTTGGAAAGAACAGGGGCATTTGAATAAGGGAACCATCCGTTCCCGACTCCTAAATGTTACTACATATTCCTTTGCCCATGCCGCATTCTTCCACCAAGTTTCATGAAGATCAAATCAGTGTTTTTTTTCAGTTGTACTGCTGAAAACAGAGAATAAAAACAAATCAATAGAAAAATCAATCATTTTGGTTATATAGCTGAGATGTGGAATTGTAGGCCATCTTCCTGGAGATTTTTACAGTCATCGAAATAAACTGTCAGGCAGACATAACAAAAAACATGAATTGTACTGACACAAAAAGTCTCCTACATTTAAGTCAATACAAATGTAACCTGAATTACTCATTTTTGGAGTTTCCAATGAACATGTTTGTACGATTATTGATGTGTTGTATGTTATTATATGTTAACTGTTATATAAATGGTGGACTACTCTGTGAGAAACTGGGATACTGTTGCATGTATACTGTACTAATTAGCCCAGATATTAAGAGGGCCCCTATTAGGCTTTTTACGGGTTTTCCCTTTCCTGTAATGTGTTATATAGGTCACTGTGTTCCTCTCCCACACACTCCTCCCCCCCTGCCTGAAACACCTCCATTGGACTCCTTTGTTTATTACCATAACATAGTCACATCACTATCTATCTAACACTCACGCTTCTATTGGCTAGTGCCTCAACACATTGTACGTCAAAAGACGGGTGAAAAGGGTGAAAAGAGGTGCTGCAGCGCAGGCAGTATGAGAAAAATAAAGAGCTTTTTGAACATTAAAGCATGGAGACATGTCACAGGAGAGACAATGCAAATCTGAACCTGAAAATATGTCCTCTTTGAAAAGGAAACAAGCTAAAAAGAGAACCCCGCTGCGCTGACAGTTTAACCTTATTAATATTAGCATAGTGCACATGTTCACACACAACATTTTTCAGAAGTCTCTATACCTTTCAAAGCCTGACCATTGATACAATTACGTTTCATTGCTCTTAAAACCTATTTCACTGTTTCCCCCCCCCCCCCTTTTGCTGGTGAGTGAAACATGGATGCAATTTAAGAGACATGGGAAGTACCTCCAGACACTAGCATACCATGTGCAACAACTATAAAAAATCTGAATATTGTTTACATTGTAAAGATCAGAGTGTGAAATACGACTGCACGCCAACAATCTCTCTTTGTGTGGGCTTGCTTGTGTTTGAGTAATACAAAATAGACAGAAACAAGAGGGACTGATAAATCACACGGTGGCCCTACATGCTCTAATAAAACCACGCTGTTCCCCTTTCCTTGCACTGTGGGTTATATCTGAATGGTAAAACAGGATTTAGCTGGATTACATTTAGACTTGATGATACATGTAATTTACTGTACATCTCCACCTAATCCTCTGGGTAGCACTTTAATGCAACACATATTTGGAGCATTTACATTTAATGTTCTGCCTTTCTGCTCTGTAGCATTCTAATTCTATTATCTATACCTTAAGAAAGTGGTTCTCAAACTTTTTTCAATAATGTACCCCCTTTGAAAAAAATATTCAGCCAAGTACCCCCTGATCAGCGCAAACACAATTTGTTAGGGAACAAATGCCTATATAAAGAGGTACAGTGCTGCACCATCAGTGTCTGATTTATTAAAACAACAACCTTGTAACTGAGAAACACTTAAATGCTACATTTCAAATGTTTACAATCCATCACTAAATTCATGGCAAACCAATTGTAACATCATGCAATAACACTAAGACGACATTAGTTGCATTGAACTGATCTTTTTAATAAGTTGTACTTCCAATGTAGTGAGAAACATGGGCTTGTGCTTCACTGAGGATCTTTGTCATTCTGACAGGAAGGCAAACTGCAGTTATTACACTTTGCGTTTTGAAATATGTGTAACTCTGTTAATATAAAACCCACACTGCTCAAACTTCGTTACTTTTCCTAAAATGTGTATATTTATTTATTTTGGGGCGTGGGGAATGAAGAGAAAAAATATATGAGCATTTTATGAGCATGGGATTTTGACCCCTCATATAAACATATGCATAATGCTGCGCTATACTTTGCAGCCACAAGCCGTTGCCAAGCAATGCTTATTGTTTAACTTTAGTTCCATTGATAAGCAGGCAGTCATATCATTAACTAGAACTAGCTAGATCTGATAGATTTGGATATAAACGCGAGTGAAGTATAACCGGACGCGAGAGAGAGATCAGAGATCAGATCAGCTGCTAAGAGTTAGACCTAACACACTTAGCTAGTTTATCTACTCTGGAACTAGCTAAACTAGTTATAAGAAATATATTTATTCTTTACTGTCGGGTCACTCACTTATTACAGGTTCAGCGAGCTGCACGAGACTGACGGGCTGTCAGGAGAGGGAGAGGAAAAGAGAGCACCCCATTTATTTTCCCCATTTTATTATCCAGAATTGCTGTAAACTTTTGAATAAAGTAGTTAATCTACTATTAGTAGTTTGTTTAAATGTATTACTTATGTTGTTTTTTTTCATTAACATAAAATAAATCTCACGTACCCCCTGCAGTACTCCAACGTACTCCTAGGGGTCCGCGTACTCCCATTTGAGAACCACTGCCTTAAGGGAATGTATGTCTCCTTATTGAAATGACTCTTATATTTAAATGACAGCCATAAGTATTGCTCTAACACTGACTTTGTACTGGGTCCTTTAGGAGCCTATCATCTTCTCTGGTCATAGACTGAGTAAAGAAGACGACTCGATCTGGTTCAGATCTGCTGAAATGGAAGACAATGGATTCTACACCTGTGTACTAAGGTAACCTCACAATTTCAGACATTTGGACAAATAAATGGAGACTTGAATGAGTCACCTAGGGTGCGTTACAACTGCCCTAAACATTTATATTAGGAGAAACGTGCTTTAGTTTAAAAAACTCTGTACATCAACTGAAAAGGGCACACATAAGTGATGCACCTAGCTGGGACCGGAGACCTTGTTGGCGTCGGGGGATTATAACGTTGGCAAACTGTCACTGGAAACGTATCTAAAATTGAAGTTTTATTGGCTTATGTTAACAATGTGATCACATGATATCTTCCAATATTATTGCAGATCTTCGGTTAGATGGCTAGCTAACCTAGTCTAGCACTTGCATATTTTCCTTGCTAGTTTCATGGAATGCTGCCAGTTCAGTCAATTGAATATTTACAATATGGCTGTTGGCACTACAGCATAATTTGGCCTGAGTGTTTGTGGTGTGTTTGTGTGTGTGTACATTTGTTTGATACTAGGTTGGTGGGGGTGGGGGTGGTGGGGTATCAAGTTGTGTACCGGTTGGCTTTGTAGCCCAGAACAAAGCTGACAGTGTTGTTTACCTGCAAGCGGATGGTGTGTCTGTGCATAATGAACTAACTTAAAATATGCCCTCTTGTAAATCTGTGTAAAGTAAATATTTGGCCTCCTGTCAGCCAATATCCATAGGGACAAGATCATGTCCTGGCTTATTTTGTAGTAATGATGAGGCATGGTTGTTAAAGGTAAAGGTAACACTCCTCATCCGGATATTTTTTGGAATGATTAAATGGTCATTATCAAACATTTTTGGAAGCATTCATTTGAGTTGTTATGGCCCTACTGTACCTCCTAATTGTTTCAATTGGTCATTATGATTTCTTATTACATGGATAAGTTGAAGTGGCCCTTTTTTTTTTAAGGTGTTTTAAAGGTCAATATTTTACGTCTAGATATTCTAATTTATTTTCCAAAATCTCATCAACAATTATTTTGGTGAGCTTTCATAACTAATGGGTTTGCCAGTCGAAACAATACTGAAAGCAAGACCCAACCTTTAGTAAACAGAATTCTTGAATTGATCAACATTGGAGGTCATTTTCCATCATTCCCTTTTCGGAAAAACATCTCTCCTTTGTGTCACAAATCTTCACCTCCCCTCTCTACTTGATCCTGTTTGCCTCCCTCCTCTGCACACCTTCACCACCTTCAACGTCCTAATCTCTCCAGCTGCCTCCATCTCCAACACCTCTTCCTCCTCCACTTCTTCTTCTTCTTCTAGTTCCTGTTCCATCTTCCTCCATTCCGCTCCCTCTCCCCCGTCTCCTGTTTTTATCTGCACCAGATTCACTTTACCTCCCCTCATCGCCCTCTCCCTCATCCCCTCATCCTCCCCCTCCGTTGCTCTCCACCCACCTCCTTTTCCTGCCAGAGTTTGACACCTTTCCTCCTTAATAAGCTCTCTCTCTCTTTCTCCTTTTCCCCTCGCTCTCTCAGCATGACAACCTAATTAGGGCTTGGTGTCTGTCATTGTCTCAGGGTCTCTTATTAACATACACACACACACACACACACACACACACACACACACACACACACACACACACACACACACACACACACACACACACACACACACACACACACACACACACACACACACACACACACACACACACACAAACACACACACAGGCACTATCCTAGCAGGGAGCAACGGCTGGATCATATAATATTACTAGAAGGTTGTATGTAGAATGTGTCACCATGCACAGAAATCCATTTGGAGAATTAAACTTTTAATGTATTTATTGCCCTCAAGCTCATGTAAATTGTTGTCGCTGTGACAATGAAACACGTTTTTACTCCCAACTCGTAAACTGACACTTGGTTAAAGCTCCTTGGCGATACCTTTGTCACGCATTTTGTACGGGCAGGGTGGTCCGATAGTCTTTAACATGTGGTAAAGGTTGCACATTTAAACACAACATTTAAACATTTAAGCAATTATGAAGGTTATCTCACAGCCTGTAAGATTACAAAAACTGTTGTGCAATACTACTGCTCTAGTGCAATTCACAATTTCGTTCAGTTTAGTACTGTTATTCATGATATTACAACTATCTACTTCAATAACCATACATTTTGCATACTTGTTATACCATGATGTAATTCCCATTTGTTCTGCGCTGTTCCCCTTTGCTGTAACAACGTGAATTGCCCTGGGGTGGGAAAAATAAAAGCTTTTCCTTAACCAATTTCTGATAACTTTAGTTATGTACAGGTTATTTACGCTACGTAAATTATTATTATTATATATTGTTTTTTGGCTAAAATTAATGTTAACTTTTGTTTTCACATGAACAGCATTATCTTTGACGAAAGTCCCTTGCTTGTTTAACCCGTCCATCTATCTCCCAACATACTGACTATATCCTGACTATTTATACATTGTCACAAGACTTCCTCCTTTTCTCCGTCAAAATCTTCACGCTCACTGGAGTGAGCCTACGCATGAAAAGCTTAAAGTAGAGAGCATATGAAGCGTAATACTGTCTTTTGACGTACAGGGCCACTAACCAAGCTGCCGTTTTTAATGAGTTGGGAGTGAGAACACACGGAACCTTCGTATGTTGCCTTTTACATACGCCCACGTCAGCACCCTGAGATAAAAGTCACCTTTCCACCTGACACTGACATGAAAATGAAGACAGGTTCATATAGAATATAAAAAAACATCAGAGCAACCTCAGCTGCTGCCTTAACCTTCCTGAGGCATGTATATAAAATGGGTGTAATCTCATATAGAAATGTTACTGTGGAATTCAATAATTAAATGATCTCTATTTTATGCCAAGGTGAATCCTCTCTCCTATATGACTGGAATGTGTGACTAGTTTGTTCTTCATTAACCAGTCTTTAAACAATACCTGAGCCCATACCGTGGTCCCTTTATTGATTACTTCCTGTCTGTCTTCTTCTGTTGATTTTTCTGACGTCCAGCGCTCTGTCTTTTAACCTCTTTCCTTCTCGCGTGCTGTTTTTCTTTTCCTACTGGGGACAGTTTAGCCATCATGAATCCAAAGCTTCATGCTCTACACAAATATAAAAATGAATATCCAAAAAGTATTCCATGGTGTTTTTCTGATATGACTTCTTTGTGCGGACTGAACATAATCCCTTGATCAGTGTCCTTAGCAATTGTCTGCTTTAAAGAAAACAGCAGCCTGATGAATGTCCACATTAGCCAATCAGAATCGAATATTCAACAAAGAATGATCCACAACTCACTGAGCCAATTAGGAGGTAGAGAAGGGCCATACTAACTAAAATGAATGCTCCCAAAAACTACTCATAAAGGCCATTTAATCGTCCGATAACATTCGATTTACAATTTTTCCACAAGGCTATTCATTAGTTTAAAATAACAAATATCATGATCAATCCCTAAATCCTTCTCCGCAACGGTCTGTTCTCCTTAGGGGCAGTCCGTAAGCAAGAATGAACAACTAATGAAATGTCCAAATTGACCAATCAGAATTGAGTATTCAACTAAGCCATATAAATTAACATCTAGACGTGAATTGTTGACTCATTGCTTTGATTATAGATATGTATTTTAAGGTTGGACGTGGTTTGTTTGTCTGTTGTTATGTTTTTATGCTGTCAAGGTTTATGTGGATCAAAGCAAGATCCGAAAAATAAATTAGGAATTCTCTCCAATAAGTTATCTTTCCAGGAATTGGAACATTGTTTCACTTTCACACCCATGCTGCTTACACATTGTTTAAATCACTATCACTGGTTGGTCTTGCTTATCAACAGCGGATTATTGGAGAAACAAGGTACAACATAGGCACCGATGATCTATTGGCGGGTGGATAAACAACACAGGAGGAGCCCGTGGAGGATGTCGAGTCTTACATCAGTCTCATTGTATCAGTGTTTCACTATGAGTCTCCCAGTGATGTCTTTGTGAGATGCATGCAGGGGGTAGAAAAACAAACCGAAATGACTGATGTGGATACCAACAAGTTGTTTTTGTGCCATAAACCGCACACATCTGAATCAAAGTGATGTGAGGAAGCTCAAAGAGTATAATAAGGCTATCAGCATCTAGTGATTTGCAATAGTTCTGTATTTTAAGAAGAAGTTGACTATTTGGCACCGTGTTTGTGGCTGAATATTGCAACAGTTATAGAAACTATTTTCTTCCAACGCTTTGATGATCAGTTTGACGTGCATTCGGAGTGTCAGTGAGGAGCTCTGTTACAGCAGATAAAGGAGCAAACTGATGGCTTTTGGGAGGGAAAATGTGCCTTGGAAATCTTAGACTTTCCTAATTATCATAAGTATTTGGGGCTGATAAATAATACTTTGTAATTGACACAGTTGGCTTTGAGAAAGGGTTGGTTGGAGTCACTGCAGGGTTTAATATGCAGCTTGTTGCTCATTTAACATATTTGCCATACCTTGTATTGGCATGGTCTCCTAAAAATGAAGTTCCCAAACAACAAATATATATTGTCAACTTGATTTTGAAAATGTCTTTTGTTATGGATAACTTTTCCTCAACATAAACCAGTTATGTGTTTTTTTCCCCTTTCTTCCAATTTACGTCTTTAAAACTGTTATCTGGGAGCGTACATGTTCCCTTCAAAACGACCAATAAGTGTATATATCAATGTAGTTAAAACGTTCTATTTTGCTATACAATACAATTTACAAATCTACCTCTGAACAGTAATTTGACTGGTTCTGCAACTTATAACTCACTTTTCTTTCTTGTGAAAATGTCGCTATATAAGCCATCACATAATGGCAATGACCTTTATACCCCTGTGCTATGTGTCTATATTGGTTTCTATACCCTGTGGTGCATCCACTTACCTGTTCATCTATAGCTCTCCCTGCACTCACCAATCCATCCCTCTTGCCCTCCATCCATCTGCCCATGCCTTATCTTTGTCAGTGGTGATGGATGTGTGTCTGATGCCCTGTTCTTATCATCTTTAGTGCATTAA